CCATCAAATGTAACCATGTGAGGGTCTCCATTTCCCCCGGCGCCTAACTTTGTCCCTGAATGCGTTGAAGGATGAGTATTCATTATGCATAAGATTTTTCGATCCAGCTGGTCTTTGCATTGTTTTTGGTGGTCTAGATTTTCATAAAACATGCAATGTATCACGTGTTCATTGACGGAGGCAATTATAAAGAGGTTATATCTATCATTCATTTAATTATTAATAAATATATGCATGGATCCCAATTCATCACAATATGTGAATGAATGGGCCCATCGTGAAATGAAACAATGTACAACAAAACGCACTGCTGCTATTTGGTTATAGTAACGTATTCTATTTTGGGATTTCTGACATGTTTTTGGTTACGAAACAATATTTAGTACTTGGTTTGTGGGATACGAATTTGTAAATAGTCCAATTGCACAAGAGTACCATGTACTTTGTCATATAAACTACATTTGGACGGATCAATAAGTTTTATGCACATGCGTTAAGCGTACCTGATCGATCACAATCACCAGCAGATTATAACCATCGAACGAATTACGTGACTGTCGTCAATACTGAACAAGTTACTGCATATTTGTTCAATGCATTATGAAACATAACTAGCATCGAATATCACACTGGAAATGTTTTTATATATACTTGTATCAATAATTATATTTTGGATACATGTGAGCTTACCACATTGTATGCTTGGTCTTCCAATATCACATTTCGCTTTCACAGTAACACCACTATTGTGATCTTTGATAATGCACCAAGCGGTTGACTCAGATAGATCTGGGTTACGACAGTAGGCACCTTCCAGACCAGCATTGGGATAATCGCGGACTGTGAATCCTCGTTGATCTGACCATTTCTCGCATTGCATGCCGAGAAAATTACACATAGACTTCTTTCCTCGATAATCAGAACCGTCTGGATTGGTATAGCACTCTAATAATATAATAGGGTATTAGTGATGATGTATCAGTTAATGGTTTCAGTGTATTACAACTCAAGTTGAAAAAAAAAACTATATTTTCTCAAACTTTATCATCTTAAAATGATATGTATGTGGTACTGTTTAATTGTTTAATTAATCTTAATTTAGCTTTATTTTTTTTCCACAAACCACTACTAAAATGCTAGTAACATATTATTGCGACATTTGAGAAAAAACGAATATATATATATATATATATATATATATATATATATATATATATATATATAT